AGTTCCGCGTCAGCGAGCGAACCGACTCGTTTCAAGGCCGATGTCTCTTCCGTTCCCCTCCGCATCGTCCTTGCAACTCTTCGTCCTTCCCTTTTTTTTCGCAATATGCGTCCACTCCTCCATTCTCCCTTTTTTATCCCTTCCCTATGGCCGACATTTTTTCTGTTTACCTTCGCGAACTCCTGGCCGCGACGCGGTAACGCGCGAGAGACAAAGGCGAAACCTTGAGATAAAAAGGCGAGACATTCCTGTGTGTGAACTTTGTTTCCCGGTATTTATTCTCCAAAATTAACATGCTTTCCGGAGGATAATGTTTCCGTTTTCTCCGTCTTATCGATAAACTCGCACCGCGACACGTTCCTTGACCGCTCGCTTATAACGCAAAATTCATGAAAGATTCAGGTCTTGTCGTTAATAAATGAAGTCGCGGCATTCTGGAACGGTTAATAGCTTAAAAAAAGCGGCACGTATTTCCGCGCTGCCTTTGTGCGGTGAAAGCTTTGTATGTTAATCTACGTAGACGCAAAGACCGTCGCGGTATGTACGTTCAGAAATTTAAATCTCGTCTCGCTCTTGGGGAACCTTCGTTGTTATATTTAGCGCGGAAAAATGTTCGCCGCGCATCCCCCATGTTGAGAAGCAGCGTCGCTACAATAGATTTTACTGTATGAAGTGATTCGCAGGGATTATTTGGGACATTATTGCTTGATTGGCATCAACGATGCGTAGTTCTCGCTCTGATTTATCTCATATCAATTAAGATACGTTAGACATCATAAGCGTCCCTTTCCACACGCGTCGAATGCTAAAGTTTTCTTTCGAGGTTTAATCGATCATTTCTGTGATTTCTTTGCGTGCTCGATGTCAAGCAAAAAGTGTTGCGTCGAAGAAGCGAGCGAGGGAGGAAGTCATAACATATCCATTTCATTGGACGCACGTACATTTCTCGGGCACTCGCGTCCGAGAATTTCTCGATCCGACGTTTTTATTGTCATCTTCGCTCGAAAGCACACGCTTGGAAAGCACGATCGTCATTCGTAACGACGATTTAATGTCAAACTTTTGTCAATTATGCACCATCTGTCGCGTGTCAGTGAGAACCGCGTCATAGTGTTGCTCGTTTTAGTATAAACTGCATTCTCCGCCCGACCCTCCGCCAAGTCGATCAAGCGCGTCGCACATTGAATATTAACAAGTTGCAACAGATAGCGACGAAATTTTCCCCGACGCAAAATCGACCCCGATTTCGTTAATAGGTTGAATAATTAGAAGCTGGTATTCACTCTGCCATTATTTTTCTTAACTATCCGCATTAATCGCCTAATTAATTTCAAGTCGCAGAGATTTCTGCTCGTCGTGTTGCGATCGATTTTCACGAGTTTTACTTATCTCGTTTGCAGATGCGTTATTGAAGCGAGATAATGCAATCGGCGAATAAGAGCTATTCTCGAACCGTAAAGTGGTGCGACTCAGTTTGAAAGAAAAACATAAAAATACGCTTTTATCGAGATCGCGGCGGGATAGCCGACGGACGAAACCCCGCATAAATGTACTGACCGACCGACGGCGTGCGAGAGTGTGACATTAAATAATCGTCCTGCTTCGACGGTATAATCTCGTAAAGAGCACGTGAGCGGAAAAGCTACGGCACACGGGGGCTGGAAAAGCGTCGCGATAGTGGCGGGAGGGTTGATAGGTGCGTGGCGGCGGCGAGTAGCTCTGGTGGCACAATCTCCGGTAATGATTGGTCGTCATGGAAACGAGCCAAGCACCCGCCTCGCCCTTTTTCCTCCGGGCAGACCGAGCGGCGTGCGTCGTGTCGCGGAGGAGCGTCGCATCGCGACGCCGACGCCCTCTCGACTACTTCCACACCCCGCGGCAAAGTTAATCTCACTTCTCTCGCTTTTCCCTGTGGATTTCGCGTGAAATTTTTAGCACGGGCTGTATAAAGTGTTGTTAAGAGAAAGCGAGGAAGGAAGCGCTCTTTGAAATCGATTTGCAAAATTTCATCGAAAAGAGAACCATTCTCTCTGTCTGAGATCGGTTGCTCGCACTCGCGCTGTATCGTTACGACCGACGATCTTAAAGACTACTTGGCGTTGCGATTTCACTATCGCACCGAAATTTCACATAAAGAGCGTGCGGTGGTGAGTAGGAAAAGCGTGTGGAAGGTCCTTGAAACGTCGCGACGGTCCCACTTGACGCGGTTTATAACAGGGCGTGCAGTCTCCCGAGAGGTGGAGAGTAACGACTGCGATTTCCACGTAAACGAAAGGAATCGACGCGGCAATAAATTCTGTCAATTATCCAACGAACGGCGACGCACCGCAATTCCATTGGTAGCTATCCTCCCTTCTTTCCGCCGTGATGGACCGCGGCCGAGTTGTCACCCTTCTTACCAGATCCCGAAGCCAATTACAGACGTGCCGCCGACAGTTTCTTACCGCCTACCTGTCCGTATCGGTCTGGCAAGAAAGCAACGGCTGACAGCGACACGTACGACGAGCTGTCAACACCGGCCTTTTTTTCATTCCACTCTCTCTTCACCCCCTTTTCCTTTTACATCCGCGCGGCCGCTAGAGCGCGGTCTCTCTCGATCGACGAGTTCTCGACAATAACGTAATGTATGACATAATGATAATGCACGGGTAATGTATACCCCGTGGAATGAAATACATGCAACGCGTTATGATACGCGTAAAATGTCAAGAGTTGAAAAATAACTGTATCACATACTGCGCGAAATGGACGTGATTCGACGACGCATTTTAACGTCGGGAGACGTTCATCCCCCTCGGAGAGACGAGTGTCAACTCTCGAAGCGAATGTGTTAATTTAGTTATTTCATGTAAAATTACTTACAGTGTATTACTCGATTTTTTATCGATTCATTACGTTCTCAAGTGACAGTGTTTCCTAACGTTATCAATCAATTACGGTATCGCTGCCCATCCATTTTTGTTCAGCGCGCGCGAAGAGAATGCATTTTTCGATCTACTTTGAATTTCCACGGTGCTGATATTCGATCTCCCTTCTTTTCGTAAGAAAGGGGGAGGAGGTAATACCTTCGGAGTTCCTTCTGTTACGCGGAAACGATATCTCTTTGTCACAATTACGATGACGGAGAGTGTCGGCGCGGATGATAATGGGCGATTTTCCCTTTTTTTTTTTTCCATGAATTCTCGCGCTGGATGACTCTGCCGCGCGGAGAAATGGCAATTTAAGTCTCTCGGCGAATGCTCGTTCAATGGGCAATCTGTAGTCGCTAATCTGCCGCCTCGATCGACGGCGCTACAGAACGCTCGTGGAAACTTTAGCGGGCCAAGTTTCCACGGCGGTTTTCCATATATAGGCACACGGTGGAGCGCGCGCCGGGCTGGGTAATCGAGAAAGTTTAGTTCGCGGTAGTAGCTAGTGATGCCCGGATATACGCGACTGTGAATTCTGGGGAAGGACCTTAATCGTCGCCTCGTTACAAGACGGCTTTTTACCCCGAAAACGCGAATGACGTCATCGCGCCGCATTCGCGATCATTACGGATTTATTTTTAGGCACGCGCGTAAATCCCATCGAATCGTAGAATCGATCTGGCCGACGTGTTATTATTATTATTCAGATCATCACCGTACCGTCGACGAGTCTTAGAGAGAGGTCCCGATATTTCGTCCTTTCGCTCAGTCTTTTATTGCACGACGATTATAATATTTCATTACTTTGCGTCATATATAGGATGGGGCGTTTAACTTGAGACGTTTTAACATAAGCAAAAATCAAGCAAAATAAAAAGAAATGTTTCAGACAAAAGTTGTCGGGGGACATATTTTGCTGACCTTAACTTCGTTGTACTGTCAATAATTCATAATTTCAAAATCAACTTAATTTTTTTTTTAATGGAATATTATATTGCATTGTGAATAATGTCGGTTGACAAGATCTCAGTTGAATCCGAGCTTCTTTGCCGTTTGCCCTAGTATGCGCTTTTCGTTAGTCGCGAAAGAAAGATATCGCGCAGCGGAATTAAAACGAAAGATATCAGGCACGGTTGGTTTCCGCCTAACGGAAGCTACGGCCAGGATTATCTAAATAAATATTTGACCGTGTTGATATAATGCGATTAAAGATAGACCTCTTGTGATACTCTCAAGCGCAGGGATCTGTGAGATGTTGGTTCAAGCGCAACCTAACGACAGGGTTATAATTCCGGAGCGGCGAACTCATTCGGCGAAATGTTAACGCACCGTTGAGATCGAATATTAAACATTTGCCGATACAGGCGCAATTACTATTGATGGGACACCGATTAATCATAGATGGCCAGTAATTACCGAATCCCGCTCAATATGTTGTATAATGAAGAGATATAGCCCTTTAATGTATTAAATGGAGAGATTCCGATCACTTTGGTGCCGTAGAACGCTCCCCGCAAGCATTTTCAACGTTAAAAATATTGGTGAGAGTCGCGACACAATTAGTAGTTCCAGTGGAACTTGTCGGCGACGGTGGACTTAGGTATATATATAAAATGATTGAAATATAAAAATGGAAGATAACATATATGTATTTGTAATAACGGGATATATTGTTGCACGCCCGGATGATTGTTCGCTGAATTTCAACGGAGGCATCGCGAGATTCGTAAAATTCGTAAAATGCCTAATAACGCCCGTCTCTTTCACGAGAAATTCCGAAGAATCACTTTCCCCCGTCGACCGTTGTCGTTGTTGACATTTTATCGGGACGTGTACACGCAGCTTAGGTATCTACATTGAAACTAACGTGACTCGAAATTGCGAAACTCCCTGGGCTTTCTATTTTCGGATACTCCCCGCAGCCCGTGGCGATTACGATGTGATAAATTAGCGAAGATGACTTGCAACTCATTTATTATATATATATGATGTTACACTTTAATCTGCATTGTGCACCGTAGGGCTGCATGCATATTGTATCAATCTGCCGAATAATAATTACAATAACGGATATGTTCGCGACTGTTTCAGAGGTGCCTTCTCCGTGGTTCGACGATGCGTGCAAAAGAGCACCGGGCATGAATTTGCGGCAAAGATCATAAACACCAAAAAGCTTTCAAACAGAGGTGAGTGATGATCGCAAATACATCCTTCGAATGGATTTTTTCTTCGAATGATTTCTAACGCTTTTTTTTGCGGGTAAATATACTATAATTATTCTTGAAATTCGTATTAATTCGTCGAACGCGTATAGAGTTAATGTAGTTAATGTATGATGTAGACGCATTCGAGATTACATGTATTTAGTGGTCCGCGCGCATAATATTACGTAATGCACGTCAGACGGGGTATTAAACCGTAATTTCCAAGTTCGCGGCTTGCTTGCGGCACGCAAACTATGAACGGGATTCACGGGGGTATTTGTAAGCGGACAAATCCGCGGACGGATCGTTTCGGAATCGATGAGTCATTATCATTAGACAGTGTTCGACAAGACTCGATACTGGCTACCTGTTGTGGATGGTTCTATCGTGCACATACAACATCTTAGTTCATACATACCTAACCAGTAATCAACAGAGACTCGTAAACGTGTGATTACTTACTAAGCAATATCAGTTTTTATGAATGCTGGCCTTAGATTCGAAATTTTGACTTTCCTTCTTCTCGGCGAGTTTGTTAAAATCGGAAATATTCTGTGTGACAAATAATTGGACACACTTGAAAATATTATTTCTTGAATTCCGATAGAGATTGTGTGTAAGATTTATATCATTGGAAATGTGACGTTTATTGTTATTAAAAAAATTACGATTATAACCGTTGATAGACGCTAAATGTTAAGCGATGATCGATGAAATAAAGCTTTTAAACGGAAGGGATCTCAGCTGCGGCCTTGTTTCAGGCTCAGGCCTGAAACGCCGCGCCCGAGAGAAGAGGATACACTTGTGTTTCGCTTGTCCGAGACGGGTGTAAAGGCAGGCTGTTTCCCGCTTTCTTTAACATGGCATAAATATATAGTGGGCACGCCAGGTAGAAAACACGAAAGGCTCTCCCTCGAGTGTCTCTCTAGAAACGTCTGAAACGTTTCCGAGCCAACGAGCGTCTGAATCGTCATCATAAATTTCCATTGCAAAGGAGCTGCTTTCGTGCCTTCGTGCGGTCGTCCCTTTCGCGCAATTGCTCGATCGCGGAAAATGTCGGGGCACTGTGCCTGCAACATTATTACTCTAATTTATTATTTACCAGGCACCTTTAACATACGAATATCTCTCTTTCTCTTTCCCTCACACACACACACACACACACACACACATATATGAATAGAAACGCTGTCTATTTAGGATTTTATGGTCGATCCTATGAGACACAAATCATTATTAAGTGTATACGGGTTTCCGATGTTGTTTCGGCATCCAGTATTGGCTTAATATTACGGATGATTACAGTCAAATGTGATAACTCGATATCAGAGAAAGAGAATGTTGGCGCGAAATTTTACATGATGAAAACTTGACGCATCTAAATGCATTCTAGGATTTTTTCGCAACGATATATCGTGTTCAGCACATGCGTGTCGTAATCATACACGTAAATACGTGTCGTGACGTGCGATTTTTCACCGAGATACGCGTTCGAAGAGTTGAAACCTCTTGAAGGTGGTCTTTCGCCGTCGATCGGCGGCGGCATATACATTGTAATACATACGTTCACGCCGCAGACTTGTCCCTTATCCAGCGGCATGTCGACCGAAACGAACGAGCAGCGTGTAATTAGCCCTCTCTTTTAAAAATTATAATTTAGAAAATTGTTCTCGGTTGTTGCTCCAACTTTGCACCACATCGTTCCAAAGCGATATTATTCGAAACGGTTCTCGAATAAAAGGAAAAGAAAGAATGGTTTAGCTGGACCCCCCTTTTCTCCGAAATCAAACATTTTCTTATCGCTGCAGATCGATCGCGGAAACGCGGAAAATACGTTAGCGCGCGTCTAAAAACAACGAGCGACCGCGCGACGTTGACAACCTGCCAGCGCATTCCTGCGGTACACGCGCACGCACGGTGCCGTGCGTTGGCCCAGAAAATACATACTGGCCTCTTTTGAAATTCGATCGCGCCCGCGCCTACCGCTCGCCAAACAGCGCGCTTTGGGCGATGGAAGGGATCTAATCGAATGCGTATTAAATCCCTCAGCTTAGCTCGCGTATCGAATATACGTACCGTGTGAATTAGCGCACGCTCCTCCCTCGTCGTCGCGTTCGAGATAGCTGTCGCATGAGCGATACTTGTTCTGCAAAATTCTGCAATTTACATCGCTCAGAAGCTAAAGTTTCGCCGCGGAACGCCATAATTCGTGAGTTTAAAGGGTCCGTATGTATTTTCTTTCGGGTACTTTTTAAGCAGAAGTGAGAACGTAATCGAGTGATTAACGCAATATTGTCCCGTTTACTCGATCTGACCGTCGAATGTGGCACAACGATACAAATGATAGCTCGACGTGAATGCGGTTGCTGCCACGCGTGTAAACGCATTGCGGCTAACCGCCGTGAAAGAAGTCGCGTCGGTGTTGAACATAACGCGTTCGAACGATTGCGATACGCGAACGGAATAATCACGTCGAATCGATAGAACATAAATGTTACTTTGCAACTTGAAGCTTGCTGCCGAAAGTCTAAATTATCGGACATTTTCTCTTTGGTGATTAAACCGTGTAGAGATAGTAGTAAAACTAAATTAAATACAAAATTTAATGAGAAATTCGTTATAATATTATTTTTCAAACAGTTTGAAAAGTAGAGTTTGAACAATAAATTACTATTGTTTACAGCCCGACGGCTGACGACCTTACTCGTCACCGATGCGAATTTCGCGCGGATCTCCGCGCGACGAAGAAGGAAAGTTGGCGCACTATTTCGGCGCAATTTTCTATTGCGAATTCCCGTCTTTTCAGTCCCTTCACCTCCCTGCGAGAAGTTAACACGACCGCCGTGAACGACGTGCGATAACACGTATTCCCGAGGGTGTAACGCCGCGAAGGAATTTGATCTTTTAGTTTGTATCTTTGCCGAGAGTTCGTGAAAGAATAATAGTCGCGAGGGTTCCATTTGTGCGCGCGCGAGATTAATCGCTTCGAAACGGCGTCGTGTTGTAACCCGCGATCAAACGGCGCGACCGTCTTCAGAACTCGGATGTCGATAGGAATCCTCGAGGGTCGCGTGCCGCCTTGAGAATGGCAGGGCGAGAATCCTCGCGAAAATAAAGACAAAAGGACGAGGAAAAAACGAGGAGGAACGTTAACGGGCGATTTAACTTTCTGGGCCATCCAGGCGCACGAATCTCGGTTGGCTTTGTGCCGCGACCGAGGAGAAACGTCTTTTTCTTTCCTCTCGTCGAGTATCCGAATTAGCTCTTTTATCTAATAACACCTACGAGTCGGCGCAGTACCGTCAGGACGATGTTGTCGCGAATTCCTCTGCGAACGAGCAATTTCACGTCGGGAGATCAAGTGAATAAAGAAAGAAAAAGGTCACTCGGGGATCAAGGGAGAGAACGAATCTATAGACGAATATGTATCATCGCGCGTTTTCATCGTATCTCATCGATTCACGCGTATTTGAGGAAAAATCCCACCGCTTAGTATTGGAAGAGCAAATTTCACACTTTCATGGCAGACTCGAGATACGCATCGATTCGGCTCGAAATATTTCGAGAATGAATGTTTCCGACCTGTCCCGCTTCATATTTATGTTGCGCGATGTTACGGTCGTGCGTGATAAACGTTCAACATGGTCGGAAGATCCTCTTTTTACTTCCAACCGCCTGTCCAACCGCATCGTTTATTTATAAGGTTCGATCTACTACTACATTACGTTAATACTTGCCGTACTTTCATCTACTCGTGCGTTTCACACGACAAGTGACTGCTCAAGAAAGACGTTCGGTCAGGGAATCGCAACGATATATATATCGCACTGCAAATGCTTACTCTTTCGAGTCGTCTGATCAAGATTGAATTTTGCGCGCAAGTATGCATTAAGAGGGAGAGAGAGAAAGCATCGGCGAAAGAAGAGCGCGCATCTCATCTCCGTCAGCGACGCGAGCTCTCGGAATTGCATAATTTCCTGCCGTAGGTAGCGTGCTCGTTTCCGTTTCCTTCCTCTCTCATTCAATTTATAGCCATTTTCTGCGGGCGCGCGATGCGGCTGGATAAATCTATCTTCGGCAGCGAGGCGAGAGTAGAAGGTAAAAAGGTGGCAGAGTAAAAGAGGAATCCTCTATTCCCCTCTCTCTCTCTCTCTCTCGCCTTCGGTAAGAATCGTTCGCTCGTGCGATTCAACTCAAACCACGACCTTGCTCCAGTGACCTCTTGACCTAACGGCGGAGGCCATGGCCTCCGCAATATGGCGTACGCGCAACGAATAAAGTTCGTCCAGGAACGCGCAAATAGCTAGCCAATTATTATGAGGGGGGGAGAGGAAGCGATTTTCTCGCGAATTCGCTGTCATTTCCCGCCATTTCCGGTTTTTACGACCTCGCATCCCTCCTTAGCTCTTACATTCCCCGGGGATGAGATTTCTTTTTCTGCAGCTGTGCGGCGTCCTTTGCGTTTGAAATTATTCAGGTGTAATCCCGCGGAGACGCGGAAGGTCACTTCGTTGGTTGACGCGGCGGCTCGCTCACGGTAGCGACCGTGAGAACGAAGCGTGATCGATGCTGAATTAATTGGCATGTGCGAATTGATGCACATTCACGGACAAACGCGAGGAGAGAGGATAGACAGCCCAATTAAAAGCTCCCGATCCACGTCGCCGACGATTTATAACAAACTGCGGAGCTGCCGTTTATTTCGCGTTATTATCATTTGTTTTTCGCTCGCATTTGGTCGTCTGCTTTTTTTTTTCTACTCGTCTCTCTCATCTCACTACTCGCTACGTCGTCTGAGAATATCTCATTTCTTTTATTTGTCCAAGGGACGATTTTTGAAAACCACAAAAAAATTATACGTTACATATATTTTTTTCCACAAGAGAAAGAGAGACACTGTGTTGTAACAGAGGCACGCACGCGCCTTCCACGTGTCAATGAAGAAGGCCGTCCCTTTTATAATGGGACACCGTCATTGCCGTCCAGATCGAGAGGAAAAAAGTCCGATAGCCTTATCACGCACGACGGATCAAAGGTTGCGCCCCGTACTTTCTCCGCAGCAGCGGGTCGCGATATCTGCTCTCGTAAGCGCGACACGGTGGTTTTTTTTATTACCAACGCTTTCGTGACATTCGTGCGCTCCATCGGACGGGAAGGTGTGCGCGCTTCCCAAGGATCGGCCTTGCGACGGAAAAGGAAAGCAACCCTCCCTCCCGAACGATGCGTACGTCCTTTTTCGCTATGTTTCCTAATTTTACAGAAATCGAGTTAATCAATAACGAGTAAGATGTGACGTGTTTAATCGTTCGTTTATCGAGATAGACCGGCGATCGCGCGACACATATTCGTACTTATCGATGCGAATCAATTGTGTGTAGATACGGATAATTTTGGTGAAAAGCGATACACGTGTGCGAATGTGTGCGGAGAGACACAGAGGCGCTCGCTCTATAACAGGATAAAAATAAGAAGATGCATTCTTCCGACGAGCTCTCGGCGGCTGCGTAGTCTGCTGGAAGTGATCCGAGCAGCGCGGAAGAGTGTGCGTCGCGCGCAACCTTCTCGCATTTTTACCTTTTTTATAGATATATTATTTTTATATAGATCGCGCGCGTTAATTATCGGATGGGGTGAAGGTGATCGCAAGGGCTGTTATCTCGGCACGCCTTTATCGATTAACGGGCCACGTACACCGAATACTACCGGGCGATAAACGATCCCCTTTGTGAGAGAGCGAGTGGATGGCACTCGCGTTAAATTGGCGATCCTTCACGTATCATCGCGAGTGAGGAATTGATGCCGTCGACATTGTCGGATGAGCACGCGCTCTTGTTCTTCCCTTCGATTCGAAAGGTCGCGTTATGTAAGTCGGTGCGTTACCCGACTCGATTTTCTTTTTTACATAAGTCCAGCTCGCCTGACATTACGGCGGCTCCCAAGGAAATAAGAAGAATGAGTAGGCGGAAAGAAAGAAGGGTAAACTCTATTTTATACACGATCGGAATTGAATACCCGGAGAAAAATGATATTTCGAGCTCGCTGTCTCGCGAATGTTGCATCACGCGACTCGTCGTCAGCACGTAATTGAGTTGCGTCTACATGGTCGGATGCAGCGGTGCAAACGAATCCGTCGGCGGCTGATTCTCATTGAGTATGCAACATTTCCACTGGATAATCATGTTAATATACGCGCATTTCGCTCTAATTTTATGTGTGTGATCCTCCGTTTGTTTGATTTATCAAAGTAGCGATCGTGTGGTGCCTTTCACCTCGAGGTAGAAAGAAGTAATCATCTCTCGCGAGAAGAAACAGAGATAATATTGATCGTGTTGAAGTACGAACGCGTAAAAAGAAAAACTCGGGCCGTATCGACGCAAGGAGGATCGGTGACACGAGGGTGGCGGAGAGGAAGGGAGTGAGAAATTGCGTACTTGAATGAATATTTTACTCCGTGCAACACACATACGTTGTAGTCGTTTAAACAATTCAATTCCACAGGTATCTCATTCGGCACGCAATACGCGTCCGCTCGCGACGTATCAGGGACGCTTTATCGGCCGCCACGTGAGGCTTGCAAAAAAGAAAGAGAGAAACGGGAGGAAGAATAATTTGCGATAAAATGGCAGCGTGCAGAACCCGACGCGTTATGCTCCTCGCGATCTGTTAACCTATATGCACGCGAATTTCATGTGGGATATTAAAGTCGTGCCGATGTTAATCATTTCCGGTCGCAGTAAGGAAGAAAGAGAAATACATTCGATGGTATTTCCGGGCGTGCACGCGCGACGTCTTTTTCTCTCCCTCCTCGATCCCCCCGGCGATGATTGTCTCTCGCGTGGCTTATAAACGACGAGGGAAACCCCCTTAACATATCGCGGCGGGAAAACTCGAGACTCACTCTTCGTCGCGTAACCCAGTTTTTTTTCCAGTGCTCGCGGAAAAGTAAGGGAGAGCCTTCCGGGAATATGTTCGACAATTTGCCGAACCCACGCGTCTCATTCCTTCGGCCCGAAAGCGGATAAAGATCGTCGGAAAAGCGTTATGCTAACTTCGAATTTTGTCGTGACGATTATATCTTTACAAAGAGATATCACGTGGGGAAATAAAGGAGGAATTTCGCGAACGTGTATAGACTCGTTTTATGCTTTGTGTTTGATCTTTTCAATACGGCATTAATAATAACCCCTTACACACATACACTTCTTTCACGAACATTTGTACGTTTATATCCCGAGAGTGATAAAATGCGAGGTATAATCGAGAAAAAGACGCTATCATCGTTCTGGTATTCTTTTGTTGCTGTTGAGATATTCATTGTCAGGACGTTCCGTTTCGAGCTATTTTAATCAAACGGCCATTAAATATTACGAAGGACGAATCGATTGTCGGTCTCGCGACGTACGTAAGAAGGCAAGAAGGAAATAATCCTCAAAATGACTCGACCGTCCGTAAATGCAATTTTCTCGTACCTCTTAGTGAATTAACTCCGGGAAAACTCGTTGAGGGACCTTATTGCGAAATTCGATTCCATCACGGTGTCCACGGTATCCACGATCGGTCGTTCTCGCCGCAAACCCACGCAAATTAACTTTACGGGATCGAATCGGAACGTTTCCAGGGTTGTTGGGTAAAGCGTATCCGACAAATTAGGAAAGGGGCAGTTTCTCTCTTACGAATATATTTAACTGTGTACACACGTTACTTTGATTAATTCACTTGAAGTGGAATCATTTTATACTTATATAAACTACACCTATACGCTCATTGTTTTAATCGAATACGCTTTGTGTGTTGCAGATTTTCAAAAGCTTGAGCGTGAAGCACGGATATGTAGAAAACTTCAACACCCAAATATCGGTGAGTAAATATATCAATTTCTGTAAATTCTTTATTCCCATCAATTTTATACGCATTAGTTTGGTCTCTTCGATTGTGTCTGGCGAAAACGGCAAAAAATATAAATCACCTAACGCTCGCATCTATATATGGCAATATGCGGCTATTCTCAAATACATCATTAGGGAGTAATTAAATTAAGGTCACCAATCGATATCGACGGCGAGTCTTGAAACTTGATCGAAGTAGGCGTTTCGAGGCGAAATGATGAGCGATATGCGCGTGACACGATCACGGCGTACGTGGTGAACATCGCTAGTAGATACAGGACGCTTTGGTCAGACATGCAACCTGTAACCATTGTTTATCTCTGACATTAAATTATACGAAAAAAGGAAAACGCTCGCATATAAAAATTCTTTTTTCTCCGACCATCACGATGAGGACATTCAATGAAACATTACATTACGCATAAAAAATCTAAATTCTTTTATTTGAACTGTCTTACATCAGCGTACGTGTCAAATCGTGACGTAATTTTAAATTTTCAAACGACGAGACTTGACGCAACTTTTATTATTTACATTGTGTGCGTGATTCTTTTTAATACATGCTTTCGTAACAATTATATATACGGTATCAATAAAATATTCGAGATCGAATGCAGGCGATGGAAATTGAATAATGGAATTCGATAAAACAAAAGAGAGAGAGAAGAGGGGGGAGGGGGATATAAATGGAATGACGAATAAGGAATAACTTTATTTTTACGCTTGGTTGCCTTTGATATTTTTCATTTCTTACGTCTCGCTCATCGTTTTTATATTGCTAGATATTTCCTTTAATAGAGTAAAAATTTTTATGGGAGATATTTTTTAACAAAGCGCGTCTGACTATTGTGTACTAAAAGTCATGTCGATAAATATTAGATGCTTGCAAAAGTTCGTAAGGTCACAAATGGCTTAGTGTCAATAATTTTGTAATTGTTTCCTTTTAAATTGCCAAATTAGTTTTTAAATGCTAGCCGTACTGGATCGATGATTGATTGACAATTTATAATTCCGACCGAACCGTCGGTCACATTTAACGCGATTGAAGGTGGAACCAGATAAAGTTCATTTTTGCCACTGCATGCTTTACCATTTTTAATCAAGGTGAAGCGACTGAATTGGCGTATTTGTCTTTTTTTCGGACCTTGGCGCACACGTTGTTGGGGAGATGAGAAAGATTTGGGCAAGACAAAATGTCAGAATTATTCCAACTTTCTCCTATACTTATACACGAAGAGACGTCGATCGATCGATCGATGCGTGTCGAGACGGCAAAAAATATCCGTGTCCTTGGACGAGAATAAAGAAACGGAGAAAGAAGGCGGGCAGATTGCATTTGGGATTATGGGATCGGAACGCATGTTTTCATGCCGTTTAAGAGTTCCTTAACTATTTCCCGGTAGACTGTAATTTCTCAGAGACCGAACTCGTCTTGGGCAAACCGCAAGAAATTTTTAATCTTTCTTCCTTCTCTGATTGCGTTGCATAATCTGTTCCAAGAAAAGAAATTTCCAAAGGATTTTAACAATTCGAGGCGATGGAAATTAACAAAAGTTGACGTATTAATATCGCTCAATTTTACAACGTTGATCGTGTTATCGTCTGTACTTTAATTGTTTTCTAAACGTTATTTATGTGTTGTTTACACGAAGTTTGAGTGCTCTCTTAATACGTTTAATTTGAGATTTAATTTTTGAGAGATGCATGTTAGAAACACGAAATAGTCGCGACGCGCGATGTTATATCTCGCCAGGCATTCGCTGCGGAAAAAATGGAACGAAAGGAAGTCTAATCTCGTTGAGAAATTTCCGGCATCATTGATAGTCAACGAGCAATCAGACGTCTCGTTTATTTGCGATTCAGGCAAATCACGCAATCACACTTCGCGAAACAGTCCCGTTTGGTGAACCGGAATGATGCGTTACGCGCGCGTACGATAATCAAGAGTCAGATTTCTAATCTGTGGCCCGTGATATCTAAACGGCGTTTCGAAATGGTGGAAAAAGTTAAACGCCGATTTAGTACGTTGTTCCACTCATGAATAAACCGTTGCGCACACAATGTTGCATGTGTGCCGTAATCTAGATGAAATGTAAATCGCGTCCCGCTCTGGCACGTTTGATGGATATTGTTCCAAGTGCAATTAATTTCGCGCTTCGTCATTATATCGTCGACTCGCGAATTAGCCCGCCTACTTTTGTAACAGTTTTATCGTAAGTTATTGCATTTTATTCGGGATATATATTTTTAATTCTACGTTAAGTCTTCGAGCGACGAAAACAGAAATAAGTTCCCATTTGTAGCATCAAAGGAGCATCTTTGAACACTTGATTACGTAAAACTAAAATTTCGACTCGAACGATTGCGCGATAAACGCGCGCCCGTGTCGTCGAATAATGTAACCGACGCAAGTCCAACTTTTAAGTTCTTCCAACTCCCATCCGTTATTTAGAATTCTTGCAATCTCGAATCATTTCGGATAAGTTGTAAAGTGATAACGTGGGACTACAATTTATTCCGAGATAACTCGCGTTTTTACTTAGAGCGCAGAGCAGAGAAGCGTGACTCCTGCCGTGTAATTCGATTTTCCACGGATTACACGACTGTCGCCTTGACGGCCGCCGGTGAAAATGACATCCATCCAAATCACGCGAAAACGTTCGAGCCGCCTCCCGCGAGCTATACAAATGATATTGTAATGACACCCGGCTCAAACTTGTTTCGGGGTAAAAAATAATCTCGAGAACGAAGGATACGCCGTTTCGCAAAGTTCCCGTCGAACTTTATCATTCCGCGTGTCCTCGCTCGAGTTCGGACGCGATTTCTCCGCGTGGAAAAGTTTCATCGAGACACCATCCCTTTCGGTAACTTCGGGATTTTCAACGTTGGATATTTCGGTAGCGAAATCCTGAGAGAGTGTTGAGATCCGATTAAAGCGGAGACACTCCGCGATTAACCGAAGAACAAAGTTCCGTCGGCTGTTTGCATTTCCGTGCGATTCTGTCCGAGATCCTTTAATTGCCGATGCTAAGTACCTTTGTGATTGCGTTGGAATTTTTCGCAAAGAGCAAAAGTAACTTTCATAGATTCGTTCACAGAGACACGCTAAAATTCGTTCGCGAGCTTTGCATCCCGTGTGTATTTTATATTTCGTTTCGCTCCTCTCTCTCTCTCTCTCTGTCCGCACGTTACTATCGAAAGGTTAAAGTTATAAATATATTATTGAGTCAAGTCGATCCGCGCGTGTAATACAGCAGTGTACGTGTGGCTAATTGCCGGTTGCTCTGGACGCCACGTATTAAAATAACAAAAAGAAGAGCAGTAAATAGAAGGCTGCAGTCAACTTCCGGAGCCGACGCGGTCGCTTCGTTAGCGTCGTCAAATTGTTGATCATCAATTATCCCGCAAGAGTCGCCGTCGAAGCGGACTCTTCTCCTCTCTCATATTATCGAAGCGTTTCGCGTTAACCGAGCGACGCCGATCGAACGAGCGCAAAGTTCTCGCGTAGTAATCTCTTAAGTAAAGCGAACGCACGTGTCGCATGCAAACGGCTTTCTCCTCTTTCCCCGGCGCGCTATTACGACGGCAATTTGGGCGATCCCAATTAATCGCGGCTTCGCCCGACCCGAAACAATGATCACTCCCGCAGGAGCGCCAAGGGGAGTTTATCACTAGTTTTCTATTACGCGATTGCGCTCGCGTGTAAGCGGGCAATTTTGCGCCCGGGACGGGAACGATCGTAGAAAATTTACGGCCGGTGAAACGCACCAACCCCGGTTTCGGTGGCGATGGTAATCCCGAAATTTTGGAAATTGCGTCTCGAGACGCGCAGACGAGGGCTCCGAGCCAAGTTCTTGCGCGAACTTTATGTCCATCGCGACTACTTTCGGCGACGCGATTTATCCGCGAGTGACGACACGCCTCTTGGCGCATCACGTGCGCCCCATCTTCTCACGTTCTGCGGGATCTTTTTCGGATAAATTTTTTTCCCCTAAGCTCCACGTTTCGCGTCGTGAGCGTCGGGTGTGACGCTGGAAACCGTCGGTGCGCGGAAAATAGCTTGAATTGCGAAGGAAACTTGATTGACACGCGTCGCCCACTCAACTACGGTGAAAAAATTCGTTGAATAAAACCGTTTAAACGAAAGACTGAATGCTCTCTCTCTCTTTAATAAGAATGCGTATTGCTCATTAAATCACTTAACATCTCAATTGTTGTATTATTTAACGCGAATTAGAATAGTTTCGCAGCGGCACCTCATTGAACCTTGACCTTTTCGGCACACTTCATTAAGCGGCTCCTAATCGTACGTATCTCCGATTGGGAGGCCTGGGGCGATTTACAGTCGACCGATTTACCCGGCTTGACGGTCCTCAAGTCAAACCGAACGTCCAGCAAATAACCGCTTTATTCCGGCTGGAATTGCGTCGATAATTACTACGGTATCGCTCGCAAGTTGCTGAAAGTCTCACTCTATTAACGTCGCTCACGGATAATAAGTGTAAACAAAAATAAGATTCCCACCTTGTTAAAAATTCGACGCTGATTATTCGTTTAATGGCCGTTTCGCGATGTTCGACGGTGACTCTTAAAATCGCGAGGAAAATAAAAATAAGAAACGTTAAGGAGGAAAGCAAGGCGCACGTACAAAACATGTTACAGCTTCCTTTGCTCTCACGACCGTATCGGCCGTTAGCAGCGCATATGCGGCGCACGCGGCTGAGACCTTGAACCGACGCGCTCTCCGCATCGGGTTGTGTGTTACACAGCGAATCGCGCACGTAATACACAACCTGGATACCTGCCAATCGGCCGCGCCGCAGTCCCGGGGGAAATTTTTGGCGCGCGAGCCGTTTTTGCGCGGATTCGACAGCCGGATTGCGGCCGATCCTGGCGGGATGGAAGATTCGGCGACAACAGGTGTTATCTTTTCCAGCTGAGAGAACGTTTATCGGACTCGTCGCGCTCATT